ATTTTCGTACTTTGAAAGTACGAGCTTTTGAAAATCTTTACTTTTCATGATGTGGAATAAAACCAATCTAGTCGACTTCAAAATAAAATATCCAGTTTTGTAGAGTTGAACGGCGATTCGTTCAAAAAAAAAATAGATCGAACCAATGAAAATTGGCGGAGATATTCAAGAAATACGGAGACCGCCATTCTTTATGGGCCACCCGTTATATACTAAAAGTACGAATATTTTAGAAAAAAATTTAAAAAAATAATGTTTTCTTGTAAAACTTTTATTTCAAGAAGAGTACATTCATTCTGGATGAAAGTTTCGATGCATAATAGAATTCATCAGACCTCTTTGTAAGCAAAATTTCAGATTGAAATGATAACATTGAGTATTCTTCGATGTAGAGAAGTTGAAAAAATCTTTGCTTAAGACTGAAAATATACAAAAAACTTCAAATAATTTGAATTTGAATTTTCTTTTTTCACATATTTAAACTTCAACGAATGAGAAGACAATATCATCTTTTACTGATTGTATATAAAAATAAATATTAAGTGACAGTTTTTTCTAAAAATATGGTACATTTTATTCAATTTTACTACTTAATATCAAAAAGAAAATACTCGTGCAGATTTTAATTTTAATATAATAAAAATATTTTCTATAGACTGCTTGTTCATCAGAAAACAAATACCCAATATTATCCTTGAACAATATACTAAAAAAAATTTCAATCAAAAATAGGTTCATTGAATATGAATATAAATATAAATAGGTAGATGTAAAGACTCCAGACATATATGGACACTTCACGCACGTCTATGATTATTTTGAGACCGTATTTCACAAAATCACAGTCTAAAATTGGTATTCGTATGATTATCCTTTTGAACTGTAATTTCTTTCACAACTTTGCCAATGTCGGTCAATCTCTACAGCTTTTACAAACATCTCATATAAACACGTGAAAGTTATAAAAAAAATGCGTGAAACTCAATTTTTGTTTTGTTCAAACATCAATTATGAATGTTGTTTTAAAAACAATAAAATTTGTACAAAAAATAATAAGAAATATGTAAGATGAAATTTTTTTGAAAATACTGTTCTATCGATAAAGTAATGTCGATTAACATATTGCTTATACACAATCCTTAATTTATTTTGTTTCTCTTAGGATGAAGGTTGTGTAGGATCATATTGAATCATATTATTAATATCTCCATCAGTTGCATCCTCATTATGTTCCGTAGCACCATATTCAACTTGTGTAATCGTATGACACTAATAATAATAGAAAAAGAAAATATTGAAAAAACAAACAAAGTGAAATTTTGTTCGTCACATATCGAAGCACTAAACTCAATAGGACTTTCTTCAAGAGCTTTAGCTCGTTGGTGCAGCTTATTATTAACAACTTCTCCACGGTTGTGAATAATCACATTGACACGTTCAAGAGCAGCAGGAAATTCAATATCATTTTTAATTTGATCTAATCGCTTTATAATCACATTTGTCAATAGTTATCTAACATCAAGCAAATTAACTAAATTCATTTTAATAGATTCACGAATCGGTTCATTTTCAATAAATGTAAGTTTTTCATCATATTCATTGGTAGTACTATCATATGATTCATTTTTCAAGAAATATTTACTTACTGAATTTTGAATATGTAATTCATTTCCAATTAGATATAATCGAATTGGTGAAAGACTTTTCACATAATTACAAAGAATATCTGCATCGGGTTTTTCATTAAAATCAATACTCCCATGGGATGGTAAATAATGATATATTGTACAAATTCTTGGTTAATAATCACCACTAAAGCCCTACAGGGCGTAGATAACCTGCCCTGCCCTGTCCTGTCCTGCCAGGACAGGGCAAGGCCAGGTTATGAAAATTTTTACAGGGCAGGTTGCAGGGTACGAGTATCGTAACCTGTCAACCTGTGACGATTTTTATGCGCTAGATATTGTCGACATCTTTTCTAAAGTTATACATTAAGAAAAAAAAATAGAAGTGAAAGCGAAACCGAGCTGAAAAATCAATTTAGATTGGTCGCAAAGATATTTAATAGAAGCAAATATGTTGGTAACCTATCCATTATGTGTAATATGGTTACTCAAGTTTGCATTTAGTTTTCTTATTCTGACTTTTATCTTGATCTTTTCTTCATTATCATCATTAAATAATCTCTCAAATATCATCATCAATATCGATTAGAGTTTTCTGCTAGTGAAATATCAACTATGTTTAATTCAAAAAAAGATATAGAACGAAAAAAGAAGTGGATGATAGAAAAACTTAAAATTGGTGAATTTATCGCTACAGTAGAACCACCATCATCATGTCATGGTGTATTTTGGAAACATCTATTACGTATTAAACGTTTAAATAATGAATATCCACCGTTTGTAAAATGTCGATTGTGCTGTGAGATATTATTATATTCCATATCAAATGGAACTTCTACTAGTAGCTATCGTTTTAAAAATTGCTTAGATGAATCAAATACAATAAAAAACAACAAAACTCTTGATAGGGTGTTGATGTGAAGAGACGATGTGCATACCGATGTCGGAATGTGTGCTTAGTTCATCAGATCGAATATTAGAAAAGAGAAGATAGCTTTTAAATTCGGATATTGTTAATGATATTTTGATGATTAGAAATTTTCGAGATACATAATGTTGTTGTTTTTTGCTTCATGATTGTAACAAATCGAAATGAAATTTTATAATGAATTAATACGAAAGTTTGAAATTTTCTTTAGTTTTAAAGAAAACAGGGCAGGACAGGATCAGGTTGTCAAAATCTCAGCAGGGCAAGTTACAGATTGTCAAAATAGCGTAACCTGCAGCCCTCTATATCCATTTAACACGGGAATTGTATCTTGCATGGTTAATTGTAATCGTAAATATTTTAATTTTATTGGTGATAAGTTAAATAATATTTTATAAATATTTTTTACTGTTTCACTATTACCTATGGCGTATGGCATTATTATTGTTAGACGAGATAATTTTGGAAATTCTGAGAATTTCTCTAATATTTCTTACAATATATTGATGCTATCGTTTGAACTTAATGGTGGAGAAATACATATTTGTAATTGTTCAAGATTTATAAATTGTTGAGTATTATATGCTGTCAAAAAGAGTTCTTTAGTACGATCTAGAGGAATTTGAATTTTTAATGAACAAATTGCTTGTGATGTTATATGAAGAAAAAATTCTAAAAATATATCGATCAACTAACGATTTTTCATGCAAATCCAATGAAAAAGAATAATTTCTAAGTAATAAACGAAAACATGAATTAAGATCTTGAAAGCTAACAAAAATATGAAATTCACTTAAATATTTAAAAATGTCCAAGTAAATTTCAACAGGAAAATCTTCAAATTTGCTTTTTATTGATGACATCATTTATATTTTTTTTAACAATGATCACTTTTTGCGCTTCTCCTGTTTTTTTTTATATTGTCATGATTGGTATTTTCCAATATCGTCTTGCATGCATGAAGACGGCATACACTATTATAACGACCATGGTAAAAATAAAATCATTCTTTTATAGAAGTCATATAATACGTTATAAAGCAAAAAAATGTGTCTTCATTCGACTGATTACATGTCGTCTGTAAATATTGAATCATTACCTAATGAAATAATGATCGATATTTTCGAGAAATATATCAATAGTTTCGATCTACTTGTTGAGTCGATGCTCTCATTGTTCAATGTTTAAATCTATATTTCGATTTTATAAGCATTAGTATTAGGATTTTATTTATTATTCCAAATGTTTGTTTATCTTGAGATGTTATTTTATTTGTTGATGTATGCACAAACTTTATTTTACTATATATCCATAAACAAACAAAAACATATATATAAGTATGTGTAGAACGAAACAGAAAAACAGTAGTAGTAGAGATGAAAGAGATAAATGAAAGATGAAAGACAGTAGAAGAAGATCATAAGATATATATCTATATATGTATAGGTGCAGTATCATCCTAACAATCAGTAAGAACGATTTTCGTATTTGTATGAGTCTTTTTTCAGTCTATATCGATGAGATACATGCTCTTACTCTGTCTGAATGTGATACATCCGGCCAAATTGAGTACGTTTTTCTTTTTTTCACCATTATTCAATCAATGCAAAAGACTTCGTATGCTTGTTTTACATATGAATAATGAAGCAATCAATTGACAAGGAGCTATTTCAACGTTCTATTCATTATCCTAGATATTGATTCATACGAGTCCGATTAAATATATGAACTTAACAAACGAACAATAATTAAATATTTTGAAACAATTTTTCTCGTTGAAAAACTTCGAACAGGTTGTTTTCAATTTTGAAATCATTACATCAGAAAATGAATTTTTTTTTTACTCGTATATCATCGAATATTCTATATAATATAAGTGAAGATCTTTACAGTGAACCAATATCTCTCAATACGTTTTTAAAATCATTCAATACTTGAAATACTTGAAAGTGAAAAAATCCGCACTCCTAAAACAAACACTTTTGTTTCTCACATATCATTAGATACACAAAAATTCGATAGAATAATCATGTTCAATCTATGTGGATGTGGCTGTGGATATTCTCTTTTTCTGTACGCGCCCACACCCATTGTCATGGCTCTGAAGATACTGAAGCAATGGCTACTGCCGATGTATTACGATGAGAGGTGATATTAACTTAAAATTATGTAGTATTGAAAAAATGATAGAAAAAGCTTGTTAGCGCAGCCCCTTTGGGGCGGAAATGTGGAACTCACATATGCTCTCTAGCCTCATTCAACTAATACAAAATACGTAAACTGAAAAATCTCTCTTACGAGGGAAGGTCCCCAACTGTTCAACCGCCTTTGAGTTCGGACTCTGTGCATAAGGTAGACCCCAGTGAGGTATGAAAAACCCCAAAAGGATAACGGCCCTTAGGCCTTCTGTCCAGAGTTATAGGGAATTTACTGGAATTTT